CATTTTAAATCATTTGAATTTTGAAGAGATTCATACATAACACAAGATAACATACATTACCGATATAGAATTTTGAATGACCATAGTACTATTATATAAACAACAAAATATATATTTAAATCGTATAATCTACTCTAGTTAGTAATAATGTAGAATAGATTTACAGAAATCAGAACGGCGATATTCAGTCCTTTATTAGTCAATGTTTTTGATGGTTTAAAAACAAGTTTCTCACAACATGAGTTAAAATTATTTCAGTTATCATTAACAACACTAAATTACCATAAAGAAGAAACTGATAAAATAAACCAGTTACAGATGGTTTTCAAATAATACATTATAAAAACTAAATATTCTCCCGGCTTCCAATTGCTCGTGGAATATTATATTCCATACATGAACATTACATTCATTACATGAACATCAAAATAATCCATCATTCAAGCTGTTTACAAACATATTCAGTTTACAATTTTTTTAGTTTATTTTTCCACTAATATCAATAAAATTTTTTTGGTTGGGTCAAAAAAGCTTGTAACAAAGCTTAGCTTGTTACAATTACAGTTGAAAAATATTTAAAAAAAATTGTTACAATTTTTTTTATAAGCATTAAAAGTTCGAATTTTGATAAAAGGCGTAAAATACTAAAAATTAGTAAATTATTTCGAGTTAGAAATTAATAAAAATTGTTTTTTTTAAATCTAAGATTTAAAAATGTAATACAAGATTCAAATATAAAACTAAAAAATGATTTTGTAGTAAAAAATGTATAAAATGTTTAACTTTTATAGCTAAGGATTGAACATTTCAAACAAAATTCCGAAAAAATATGTTATTCTGTAACCAAAAAATTTAAAAAATATATTAACAAAGTCTTTTTATAGTTATTTTAGGTTCAAATTTTGTCAAAATTACATATTAAATAACAATTTTAGTTATTTTTTTGTAGTTTTAAAATATTAAATCAACTTACCGACTACCGTATTAATAATAAGTAATAACAATGACAAACCGTCTCTGCTCAGAATCGTTTTTCGTATATAATGATATTATATCTTTGAATTCAAATTGAATACCATTTTTAATAAATTAGTTTTAATAAATTATTTATAATATAGTCATTAATTATAAAAAGTAAAATACTAACATCCCTTGAGCAATAAAAGAAAATTACCTACCTATTAATGCCATATCTTATTGTTGTTTATTACAACAAAAATGTAAATAATTTATTAAGTTTGCTGTAGAAAACAAGCAGTGGTTGAATTGGGGGGACGCGGGGGGGACGGAGTCCAACTTCTATTTTTAAAATATTTTAGCGTACCCCTTCTAATTTCAAGAATTGATAAGACATTTAAATGTTGGGGGACGCACAAATGTTTTATACTTTTGCATACCCCTTCTATTTTTTTTCCAATTCAAGCACTGAAAACAAGACTATACGATGATTTGTGGTTTCTCGTAATAGTTTCGTATTTATAATATATTATATAATATATATAATTTACAGGTTTAAAGATAAACTCCATGTCGATTATCTTTATCCTGGTCCGACCAGTGTTCAGGAAAATGTGTGGGGCTATTATTTTCTTGGTGGCATATTTCATAGCTCCAAAGATTAAATAAATTATTTATAATGAAAATTAAAATAGGTAATCAAACATTGTTAAAATATAGAAGATAATAAGTATGTTTGTTAAGTAATTCAATAAGTATAATCAGTACCATTATTTTTCTTCAAATTATAAATTCTGATCTTTGGAATTTATAAGACGTATACTTGAGGACTATATTTTCAATTATTTATTTTTTATACTACCCATTTCGTATGATCCTACACATTTCTTTTTCCCTTTTTCTAAATGGAAATTGACAACCAACCTTTTTTTAAACAAATTATATTTTTGAATATGTTGATATATCTAAATCAAAACTTATGAGTTATTAGTATATACAAATATATATATATATATTATATATACTGTACATAATACTCGTTAATAGTCTTTAAAAATTATTTTACGAAATCGTTAATTGGATTTTATATTGAATCTATTATCTATAATATTTATTACATTCCGGACAATTTTTACCAATTATAAAATGTTGATGGATTAATACTAATTACTATAATTTTCCAATTATCATAGCCCAAAAGTCTTACTATCATTAGCACATAAAATTTAATACTTAACTCAAAAAATTACTCGTTTGAATTTCAATTTAGATACATAGAAATTTTCTGAAAAGTGATCTGCTCAATAATTTAAAAAAAGAGGAATTTCGTTTGAAAAAAAGAAGTTTGTAGTTTACAGGAGTACAACACTTTTTAGAAATTTTTAAAATGTAAATACGTATTTGAAAATACATACATTATGTAGTTAAATTGTTAAACCTTTTCAAATTGGAATTTAAACTGATTATTTATAAAGGAAATATTTGGGGTGATCATGTTTGTTATAATGTAATATAATATTATCAATCCACGTCTCATCCCACGGGACATTACTTAAAATTATTTCTCTCTTAATTAGGATTTTTCTATGCAGTTTGGAGAATAAATATGAAGTATACATTCATTAAATTAAAAACTCTGACAAGTAAAAATAATGAGTTGCAGTTAAAATGAATGAAAAATGTTAATGAAATCATTAGACTGAATATGTAGATACCTACTCACTACTCGTGCAGATGGTTAAGATATGAATTCTAATTAAAACCTGTAAAATGTATTTATAAAATGTTATTACTGCTATAGTGCTATTGAATATTAATTAATATGTCTTTAGGCTATCGTTTAGAGATTTGTGAACTCAATTTCAGGTCTAAAATTCAATGAATTAAGGCGATATGAGTTGAAACGATAAAATCGTGAATCGACATTACGTATGGGTACCTACTATTTGAATTAAACAAATCAGGCCATAAAATTGAATTAATTGAATTAATGTTATAACTGAGTTAAATTAAATACTTTATGCGAACTCTGATGCCTAAAGGCTTGCATCTGGCTGCAGTCGTGCGTTTGCTGCACTAACCACATCCACATCACTTCAGATGGCAGGTCAGGGTAGAGTTTGGCCTCTACGCAAAGCCCTAGGGACCATGGACATGTTTGTGATAGGATTAACATCATCGATTGGATTTAAAGGAATTTCTTTTAATACAATACCAAATTACTAATACAGTACAAATACACACACATACACTAGAAGAACAATTTAGCATAATTAAAACAAGAATTACATCGCTTTTTGTGAGGTGTAAAAACTCAGTTTTCACATTGTAACGCTGACTTAACGCTTATTTTTAGATTCTGAGCAGAGAGATGAATGTGTTGATTTTATAATGATGTGTGTTTTTTTATTTTTTTGTCTGTCATCTCCGTTTGGGGCAGTAAAAACTGTATCGAATTTCTTCAACGGTATCTTGTTTAATGGAATATAGTTGGTGCATTCGAGATGTCAAAATTAAAAATTCTCAATAGTTTTCAAAAGCGCAGGAAAAACAAAACAAAAATTAAGGAAAAACGGTAATTTTTACGCAAAACTGGGTTTCGACAAAATCGATTTTGGTTTTGATGTAACTCCAAAAAAAATTACCTTAGGTATATGAAATGTTCACTGAATGTTTATATAAACATTTTCTATACACGATAAAATATTTTGACTTGTTTTGAGCTGTATACGGACATATTCAGTTTTCAATTTTTTTAGTTTTTTTTTATATTAGTTGGGTCAAAAAGCTTGAAAGTTTAATACAAGGCTCCTAATATATTATTACAATGACAGTTGAAAAACATTAAAAATATGTGGACACAATTTTTTTTTTATAAGCATTCAAAGTTTGAATTTTGACAAAAGGCGTAAAAATCACAAAAATGTGCACATTATTTTGATTTAGAAATTCATAAAAAATGTTCTTCTTTAATCTAAGATTTTAAAATGTAATTCAATATTCCTTATAAGTTTTTTTACCTTTATATAAAAAAAAAATTCTATAAGAAAGTCAAGTTAAATTTGTATGAGTGATTGAAGTTCAAATTTTTACAACATTGGACATTCACACGATTTCTCAAGTAGCGATTTTCTAATTGTTAATTCATATGTTAATTTTATCAATTCCTATACTTGATAACATTTTCAAAATATTTTGACTATTTTCAAGCTGTTTAACGACATTTTCAATTTTCAAGTTGTTATTTTATAATATTAATTTAACTTACCGGCTACCGTATTAATAATAAGTAATAAAAATATAAATACATTAAAAATATCCATACTGACAAACCTTCTCCGATCAAAATCGTTTATCCTATACAATGATATTATATCATTCAATTCAAATTTAATACCATACATTATACAGTGACCCACTTGCACGCTTTGTTTTTATTAAAATTACTCCACTTTATTTTATATGGGTTAGGTACAACGAAAAAATAAAAACGATATTGTACATTCGAATTTTTCCTTTTTAGTTTTTTTCCAATATTAAATATTTGATTATTACCTACCAATCTACAACTTAACTAGGTAAGTTTCTTTGATCAAAATACCGAGGTGTGCTTTAATTATTTACAGCATATATGTATAGGTGCATTTAATATTTGTAATTAATGAACAATATTATTATGTAGTTTAATACCTAAGTATCTAATTAAAAAAATATGTAGGTATACCTAATGTTTTCGTAACAACATTTAGATATTTACTATTTAGACATTCAGTACAGATATATAGTTCAGTATAGATATTAGATGACCATTGTAATTTTTAATAAGTATATACAGAAATCCATGTGCATTTAATGAAAGCTGATTTTTAAAATTCTAAACTCAATGAAGGCATTATGTTGTATACTTAAAATAGACGTAGGTAATTAAAATAATAACAATATTAATGGAAATGAATATTTCGATAAAATATAACAACCGTGCAACATTATATATTACTTTTGGAGTTAGTGATAAAGTAAACCGTTTTGGTTTTGTTTTTCAGGATTATCAAAGGATGGCCAAACACATACACGTTCACGAAAGCATTAGCGGAAAAAATGTTGTTACTACTAGGCGATGGATTACCCATAGTCATCGTTAGACCTTCAATAGGTGAGTTTCAGTTGACATTAGTACAGGGAATTGTAATATATTATGTGTACATGATGAGAGTTTGTACCTACTAATAAAATACATCACCTATTTCAAATCACGCATTGCACTTAATTATTTATTTCTATTTTTTTTTTATTTATTGCATTTTTTGTTTTTTTGTACGAACACAGTTACGGCATCGTGGAGAGAACCGATATTAGGATGGGTAGACAATTTAAATGGGCCGACGGGTCTGCTGGCTGGCGCCGGCAAAGGGGTTCTGAGGACACTGCTGTGTCACAAGGACTTGATTGCTGACCTGGTCCCAGTAGATATATGTATCAACTTATTAATATCGGCTGCCTGGTACACGGCCACCAATAGGTAACATATTTTACTATGACATGATCAGCTTTAGTTTTCGTAAACGTGAAATCCAAAATACATTTCATTGAACTACAGGGACTGGAACCGAACCTAAAAGAACCGGTTCTGGAACCGGAACCTTTAAAATTGTATGAACCGGAACCGAACAGGAATTTTTATATTATATAGGTTCTTTTTGGTTTTAAAATATAATAATTTTATTTATAAATTTTTATTAGATAAAAATAGAGTATTTACAATTATTAATATAATACAATACAATAAGTAAATTTTTTTTTTTTAATTGATTTTTAAAGCCCGGCGACTATGGCCATTAACTGATTGCAAAAACTTTGTCAGTTATTTTTATTAAGCAACATGCATAACATTTTTAGAGTTCTCAGATGTCCACTTATCACAAAAACTTTAGGTCAATACTACTTTTTCCATATTTTTGTAAGAAAATTACATACATAGGTAAATATTATCTATAAATACAAATTAATAATTATAATAATTATATTTATTTAATGCTCCTACTAAAAATTAGCTGGAACCGGAACCGAAATTATCTGGAACCGGTACCTTTATTTTTTTTTTTCATAAAAGAACCAGAAACTAACCGGAACCGCTATTTTATTTTTGGAGAACCGGTACCGGAACCGATACCGATAAATTCAAAAGGTTCCAGTCCCTGATTGAACATAAATAAACCGATGACGTTATTTGCATGAATTCAAGTTAATGGATTTTCCTAATAACGATAGTACCTTTACAATTGTCCGTCGTATAAATCTCTGAAGTAAACAGACATATAAGTATATATTAAAATTAAATTAAATGTATTATTATATTGTGTATACAAAATCTAATTTCAATTCAGATAAATACAAGTACACTCCTGTATAGACTACGACTGGCAATTCTATTATGGTATCGTATTTCTGTTGAGCCTTAAAATGTATATTTCATTTTGTCACGCACATTTTAGATTCTGAGCAAAGCGAAGAAGTTATTAGTTTTACGATGAAGTTTTTATTTTTATTTTTTTTTAATTTACTTCAAATATCTTTTACTGTGACCACTTTTTTGGGTGAAATAGGGAGAGCTAAAAAATATCATGTTCCGTCTTTAAAGATCAGATTTGAGTCTAGACAGAACGTTATTTTTCGGTTTTCTCATTAGTTTCTTTTACAGTAAAAATGTCAACAACAATCAAACATTTATAAAGAAATATCTCAACCTTATAGTTTTTTTAACCAAGCTTCGCTCAGAATCGTTTTTCGATTGCAATGTATGTTTTTTTTATCTTAAATTTAATATCACTGCACACCATTATCCAACGCCGAGGTCAGCAATGTGGGATTAGTGTCCCAACACTTGTGGTAACGTATTTTGCATATGAGATTATACTTAGCACCGTTTCGCTCTGATTTTAATTGCTGCGTGCCAGCTCTATTAAATACCTATTTTATTAATATTATTTTCAAAATAAATCACATTGTGTATGCCTAATTAGTTATTTAAGTATTGCTTTGAGTGGTTAACACTATCATTCAACTGAAGTGGTTCTGAGTATACTTATATGCAGGTACCTACTTTTAATATGCCACCTTGCATCCTTCCTGTTGATCTCTGCATCTGTACTTCTCACATGCATTACATTATTTAATACTGAAATGACCAGTACAATTGATTATCCCAAGTAATGTAATATTAATTATTATATTAGTACCAACGATACTATATAGATATCGACAGATGCGATATAATATAGAAATAATATCCATGTTATGCTATAGAGTTTAGACTGTATAGTGTACTATATTATAGTTAACAAAATTAGATTATTTCAACTAATTATTATTGTTTGAGATATAAAATGTTTTTTGTATTTAATGTGTATGTTACAATAATATAAGCACAACATGGTAAAGTGAAAACTTATTTTTGATTTATTATATCCATCTATTTCAACACAAGTATTGCATACGTATTATAATATAACCTTGTCTAAAAAATAATAGATAATATCATTATTTAATTAATACAAATCCTAGTCAAAATTATACAACTGTAATATTTTTTTCATTTAAATTTACTTATTAATTATAACTTATTTTCCATAATTAATTTATTATTATTTATTAATTTATTATATCATATAATTAATATATCCATTTATAAAACGTATCAAATAAATACGCTCATCTCACATACATATCATTGTATGGATACTATTGTATTTGAAAAACCTCATTCAAAAATCGACATACAGATTATTGGTTCTTCATCTAATCGAAATTCAACTGGACACTTCTCACAGGGCTAACAGTTACTAAAAAATAAAAACAATCTCATAATGGTTCCCAAAGGAATTGTTTGAACTCACATTCTCATTGAAAAGAGTCTATACTAGTGGTAATTTTAGTACCTGCCTCAGAACAGCTATAATAATAATAATGTCAGCTCAATATAATTTAAATATAATATGATGACTGCCCCACAAAATAATAATAGGTATTACGGAATAATTAGTATTAAATCAATTATTTTAATCATAATTATTAATTAATATAATTGATGACTCCATTCAAATATTATATTTTGTCATCCGTCTTTCGATTTGCCTGAGGGCCTCAGGTTAATTTTTACAAAACGTACTATTAAACTTGGATCACTTTATTAATATAGTATTTTCATATAATACATACATATAAATATTATTTAATATATTTCACTTTCGGCAGGCCAAAGGGCATAGAAATCTATCATTGTACATCAGGCACAACGAATCCGATCTACTGGAAGGACATCGAACGGTTGGGCCACGAGTTCATATTGGAGAACCCATTTAGCGACATTTTGTGGTACCCTGGTGGCAGTTTCAAAAGCAACAGAGTCGTCAACTATTTGTGTGTAGCTGCTTTTCAGATGGCACCTGCCTACATCATTGACGCTCTCGCCAAAATTACCGGTAGACAACCGAGGTAAGATTTCAGAAATGCCCATGTATATTCCGTGGATTACTGATGCAGATTTAAAATACAACAATATTAACTGGGACAAATGTCTGTTCTTTTTTACCTATAAAACTATATAAATATAGGTCAATAGTGCACTATAGTACCTAACTGTTATGGGTATTTATTTAAACATAATAGGGAGACTTACCCCTAAAAAAAAAAAAAAAAACATAAATCGTTATTGGTTGTACATGATGAAAGCTATTATTCCATATAACTACAGAATTGATAATGCCATTGACGGTTAACAGTAAACGACAAGGGGTTCGTTTGACATCAACGCGTGTCAAATTCACGTATTTCAGCGTCAGTGAGGGAATATTTGGTAGGTAGTTGGTAGATCGACTGTGGGCGACCTTCTTTTTACATTGTTGAGTTAACTGGTAAATTTTGAAAAGCCAATGTCAATTTAAATAATTTTCTGGCAAGAAAGCTTCAGTTACAATACATATTTTTTTTTTAAGTAAACAACAAATAGTAACATTTTTATTAAATTAATTACTTACCCTAGAGTCTAGGTAGGTAAAATAAATGTATCAGATAATCACAAATTTATATATAAATGGCGGCAGTCACCGAGTTTTCATGTATTGTCATTGTGTGAAATCATGGTTTTCCGTATTATATAACATAATTTAACAATGGCCTTCAGTCCTTCTTTCTTACGTTCCTAAACTGTGATTACTCATTATAATATATAAAAAAAAAGGATAGTAATATAATAAGTTTCAAATAGCGACAATCAATAGAAATGTATAAATAATAAATCACTATAATGTTGTTGATATGATAAAAATATTGTTGTTGGACAATTTTTTTGCACAATATTATAGAATTAAAAAATAAACATTTATTATAAAAGATAAATATAAATATATTCTTTAACAGTTGTAATATTTTACTGTTGCAACTTCATTTAAAATTATAATATCAATAAAAACCTATTAGGTGTTTTAGATAATATTCTTACTTTTAAGTTTAATAATATAATAGGTTACTGCAGTCTTATATTGGTTCTGTTAAACTCCAGTTTGTTATGTTGTACACTTATACCTTATACGTTTATTAAGATTTCATTTTTTTAAAATTAGATTTGATGTTGATTAGAACTGCCACTTGCATTATACGAAGAGGAATTAAAATATATTTTATGAAATAAATACATAACAAGTATCACTATTATAATACATGTAGACAAGTTTTAATTTTTAAATTGTTTTAACATTTATAAAATTATAAAGTGCCAATGATAATTGTACCTAAATGTTTATTCATCAATGAAATGTAATTTTTAAAATCTCCGTTCTTTTCTACATCAGTTACTGTTTTAATTTATATTTTATAATAAAAAATTAAGTAATTAAAAACTCATTAAGTTATATAAAAACCATACAATTATAATATTTCACATTCTTTAACCCTGTACCTAATAATATTATAATCATATTACTATACGCTTTGAAGTTTTAATCTACTAATTGAAATTGTAGGTATGATAGAAGTTAAATTCTAGCGTGTGTTATTCTTTTAATTTTATTATTGCAGGAGTCAAAGTAGCAAATTACTTTTTTGAAGTTTAAATTGAATAAGCCATAATATGACGTATAACATTCAAATATTCATTATTATTACAATAAATATATATTGATACAATTTATACACATAGGTAACCAAATTTAGTATCTTTTCATAACTAAGATATATATTAAAAGTATTAATAGTTATAACGAAAAAGTGAAAAACACTGGAAATAATAATGTGTACGCTGTTAAAACTTAAATCTAAACCATAAATATAATAATTTTAATGTCGGTATGAGGGAAATACTTATATTCTTTAGAACATATCCATTTTATTATAATATGACTCATAAAGTTAAAAGCATAAATAAATAGTAGATTTACTGAGCTAAAATAGTAAATTTTAACGGGAATATCGTATTTTTTGTGATGTTTCTAAGGTATTTGAAAAAAAAAATCACTAAAGCAAATACTTATTTATAATTTTACATCTTAAAATACTCATAAATAGCTTTAAATTTTAAATATAATAAAAAGCCTACGGTATTGCCTAGATAATAATCTTAGCTTTAAATTTTATAAGAGGTCAATTCACTCCAATTTTTAAACTTATGTGATCTGCTAAAATACGTACGATTTTCGTAATTTTAAAAAAGTAATTTTAAATTTATATTAAAATGAATTAATATTTATATATTTAATACTGTGTAAGTGTTTTTTTGGTCATACAGTATATTATTTACCGTTTCCACGTCATTAAATGGAAAACTTTTCATGAACAGATCGATTTCATAATTCTTATATGAGTAGTTATAGGTATTATTTCCGATCAGACGTCAAAATGATATTATAATAAATAAAATATATTTGACTATTAAAAGTATTCAACTGATACTTTAATTTAACAGTAAAATCTAGACAAATTTGTTACTTAGGGTGGTCAAAATTAGCTCCCACTAAATATAAATAACTTTAATTTGTAGTGTTATTACTTTTTCTCATCTAGATAATGTATTATTATTTATAATTATGAAATTGATAATTGTAGTACATTACATATTATTAATACTTGACTTAAACAAATAAAAATAATTTAAGATGTTAGGATTCATAAACAGGAATACGGTTAATTTTAAAAATAATATTTCATTTAAAACATTATATTATTATTTAATTTCACTGTTATATTTGTCACTTTGAGATTCTACTTACTGTACTATTATTACTAAAGGGTACCTACCCGTTTATAAATAAATAAATAAATAAACAAACAAATATTTATTTAGCAATATCATATAATATTTTAATATGTAAGTACCTACCTATTTATCAATATTATAATGATATAATAGGGTATAACTATTGTTTCTATTATTATTAGTTATCATTCAAGTTTTATATTTTTTATTATTATTAATTATTATTTTTGACAACTGTATACAACGGTTAGTATAGCTTTTGGGATTTTTTTTCCTAGATTCGTTTTTACATAGATCATTGATTGGAAATGTAATTTATCATTAAGATATACCAGTTAATAATACTTAATAATATAGTTCCAAGAACACACGTTTCTGATTAACTGCAGGTTCTCTAAAAAGAGCTAAAAATGCCCAATAAAATACTTTTTTCCTACAATAATGACTATCTTAGGTTAATTTTAAATGTTTAAGAAACAAGTCTAAGACTAAAAAGGTGGGCAAGTGGGTGTCTCTCTGCTGTACAGTAGGTTACAATTGAGTCACTGTAATAGATTGTGTTAAATTTGAATTCAATGATATCATATAATTGTATAAGAAAACTGATTCTGAGCGAAGACCGTCAGTCAGTCTATGATATTGCTAAGTAAAAATAAAAAAAATTTGAAAAATATTTTGAAAATGTTATGGTGTATAGAAACTGCTAATATAAACATTCAGTCAAAATATCATATATCTAAGGTTTATTGTTTTAGAGTTATACCAAAATCAAAATAAATTTAGTCGCAAATCTGAGTAGGTACCTATCATACGAAAATCTCACGTTTTCCTTAATTTTTCTTTTGTTTTTCACGGTACTTTTGAAAACTACTGGGAAGAAAATCTTATCACTTTTACTGTCCTAAAAAGTGATGACAAACACAAAAACATTTTTTTTTTAAAAACACACTTCATTACATCGCTCCGCTCAGAATCTAAAAACTATGAAAAACCAATTCTGAATTAGGTACTCGTTGGCAGAGGTTTTCATTGGTAAACAACATCATCTTACAGGGGTAGTATTATCATTATTCATTGATTAGACTTATTATACATATTTTACATTGTGTAATATATGTATGATCAATGGTATTAGGTATTCATTCCAACCATACAAAATTGTTTAACTAAGATTATTAACATAATATTGTTAGTTGTTAATCATGAAAAATGATATGTACCTACTACGCCTTATCTAATAGGTACCTGTTTCATTATGAGAACTAATTCAACTTAATAAAATTTTTTGAGATAAATTCAATTATTTATTTTTACTTTATAAATATGAAATGTATACTTATTTATAAATTATATATGAGACGAATTTCGTACTTGAAATGTATCTTTCTAACCCTGAGCACCCCAATCCCTTAGCCCAAAGTAATGCTGTTGGTCACACGAGTATCACACATAGTCGGACATTATATGTTAATGTCCGTCGTAGCGTGTATCGGATGTATACGACGTCAAATGGACAGCAAATCTGACGGACGTCGATTGTGTGACCGTCGACAATACAATTAAAAAATGTACGTCAATAAAATACTCGTATGACCCCTGCCTAAATGAATGATATTCTTTATAATACCTTAAAATATTATAATAACTAGGCAATTAATAAACAATTTCTACAAAATGAAAAAGTTAGCTTAACATTAAGTACTTAATTTGGACCAGACGAGAATGGAACTTGGGAGAAATATGATGTTCCTTTTTCATACAGAAAACGCTATTTTTAGGATAAATACTAAAATAGTAAATTGTATAGACGTTTAATTTGTATTAATCAAAATCAAAATTTGATACAAATTGTTACGAGCTGTTACATTTTACAATTTGATTCATTTACGGCATATCTAAATAACTGATTATAATTATTTATAAGCTTTAGTTACCCAGTGTTTAGTAAGTTCCTTAAAAAAAAGAATTCGTACCGTTCCTCGTTCTTTTTTTAAAAAAGGAAATCGTTTCGTTCCTTGTTTCTTAGAAAAAAAGAATTTGTTCCTGTGTCATTCCTTTGGAAAATAGACGAATTCCTTTTTTAGTTCCAAATAAAATAAAAATTCTTATTTAATGATCAATGTTTTTTTTCATAGTCATACTTCTTTAATTTTTAATTATAATATATGCCTACCTGTACGTACATATTTAATAATTATTTTTCAAAATTGTCTTCTAAATTAAATTGTTGGCCGACTGTCTTATCGTTTATAGTTAAAAATAATTATATTTTATATATAGGTACTCATTTCTATATCAATTTTAACTTATAACTTATGAGAAATATTAATAAAGTGGCTAATGACTAATGAGTAACGATTAACATTGATACTCGATAACGGTCACTAATCAGTTATATATTGTGTAAATTATTGGAATTAGAAAAGAACAAAAAAATTTGTTATTTTTCCTTGAAATGAAAGAACTAGTTCATTTTCCCGTCCTTTTTTATAAAAAGGAATTCGTTCCAGGAATCTGTTCCTTTCAAACACTGTAGTTATCTCGTACCTATACTATCCAAGGTACAAAACATTTAACTTTTTAAGGTAACTTTGTGACATTCTGCATGTATATCCATGTCCAATCACTTTCTGTCTATCTTTGGATATATCTAACCACTGACTCCTTGTATAATAAATAATAATAGGCGAATGACCAATATTGAATACCTTTTTATAAATATTATCGACCGGGAGTGGTATCTGAATTAGCCGACCTACGTGTATTAGTTTTACATTTTACATATTTGTTTATATTTACTTAGATAAGTAAACGAAGTACCTAGACAGATCATAATACATTTTAATCGTTTTTTCTATGTGTATGCACATGCAGGTTAGTTCGAATCCACAAACGGCTACAGAAGGCGGTGTCATGTCTAGAATTCTTCACCACGCACGAATGGAACTTCAAGAACACAAACGTGCAGAAGCTGTTCACCGAACTTGACCCCAATGACCAGAAGACATTTTACTTTGATGTGTCGCAACTGGAGTGGCGGAGCTACATCGAGTCATACATCTGGGGTACCAGGCAGTTTGTCCTCAAAGACCACCCAAGCACCGTGCCAAACGCCAAATTGCGATTGAGACGGTATGTTTAGTACAGAGTTTTCATTGTATTCGCACCAAATCTAACCTATAATATTACGAAACAATATTTTGACGACTATTTATATAATAGGACCATTTCCACTACTAAAGGGTGCTGGATGCGCCCCTTTCTAAGTTTTTACAGCTGGAAAGGCTATTTTTAGGACGTTTTCGAAATGAAATTATGTACAGTTTATTATTATACTGCTTTCTTAAATTGAATTTAATTGAATCTTTATGAATACTTAGTGATACCGGTCAAAATTGTAAAATAACTTTGGGTTATTATTGTTTTATTTAATAACATTAGAGTCACGGTGTCTTTAATTAGCAGATATGATTTTCTAAGCCACCTAAAGTGTTGCAACACGGCTTTTGTAAACGGTAAATGTCTGCAAGCTTTACGACGTCCGTAAAAAACGATCACTCAACATATTTATATAATTTTTAAACTTGTCATTGAATGATTGATGTTGACATTGATTGTCGACTGATATAGCTTAAGTTTATATTTTGGAAATATTATCATCAGTATTATGCACTCGTTTTCGTTTTACGCCGTATTGTGATTTTCTCAATAGCTATTGGAATATAAAAAAAAATATCTGTCCAAATCACACTATTCGATTTATAATCTATAAAAAAAACTTGTTGAGTGCTTTTAGTGCATTTTACTGATCCCACTGAAGAAAAAACACATTATAAAACGATTGAGGCAGCTCTTTCGATCCATTAGAGATTAAAAATCAGCAGTAACATTACATGAATTAACGATTAAAATGGTAGACGGAAGGAATGTGAACGGTCAAGGACGACTACTTAATCGAAAACTCTTACATGCACCTAATATTTTATCAGTTTTGTTCATTGTTTCAGAATGTACTACCTGCACCGGACTAGCCAAATGGTGTTTGTCGTGCTGGCAATCAGATACATATTACTAGGCAACAAGTCCATCCGACGGTTTTGGTATTCGGCTTTGTGTTTCCTAATAAGATGTATCAGTAACGCTACTTCTTCTCTGCGTTTGGTCTAAGCCGGAGACTCACATGCAATAGAATAATATTATTATACTTTTACTTATATTTTATACGCAGTGGTGTCCGCTACGACAACGCAATGATCGTATATTATAATGTAACACGCAATATACATTAATTATATATTAAAATTAAATTATTTAGGTATATTTTTAGACGATCACGTATTGCTCGACGAACTTAATTCAATCAATCGTATAGGTTATTATTATAATATAATATCATCATCATGTATATCAACCGGCCATAAATAATATATTATACTAATTTGTCTTGTCCCGATGATAACCTTCCTAATCCCGTTATACTATATATAAGATAGTATTCAGTTACATTCTTATTTTTTTCCTTGTCCGTTCAAGTCATAATATATTACCTACACCTATATATAATAAGTTCACTGATGCATTATGTATTTTTTTTTTAAATTATTATTATTATTATTATTATTATTATTATTATTATACTATGTTTATACTTTATGCCATACACCTTATGGCTTCCGCCAATTTAAAGTCGTTTCAAATCTAAAAATGACTTATTTGCATTTCATACTTAGATGTGATTATTATGTATATTGATTATCGAAAGACACCATCATATAATTGTGTGTTATACATAAACTTCTGTCTTAGAAATAAAAAACCAAACAATGTACCTATATAATATAATTAAAAGAGTATGTCCGTTGGTTGGTAGTTTGAAAATAATCTAAACGATCCGTTTGGTGATGCTATAGGAATTAAGACGTCGTTTATTAACATAATATAGGTATATCATAAAAATTATTATTTGTCCATTGATTTAATATTGTTAATTACGTTAACTATAGCCGTTATTATGGATAGTACGTGGTATAATGTAATAACATTTTATATTCGTGCTTTGAATTGCATTGCGATAATATTAATTTATATTCAATTGTTTGTACACTTTGTTAACTATGTATTCGATTCCATTGTTAGACAATAATTTCCATTTTATACAAAGACCATTTTATTATTATTTATGATTTTAGCCGTTACGATAATTATTAGGGTTGATAATGATATGACATTGAAAAATAGTCAAAAACCCCTAAATACCTTCTTGGACTCCCACAAATATTATACTCTTAATTAATAAAATAACTTTCATACTTATTTATTACACACATAAGCACTTATAACGACTTAATGTCATTGTAATCAATCCACGAAGACATAATATAATAGTTGTAATATGACAAAAAAAAAGCTGTAAAAGTTCGCGTTATGTTAAGTAGGTACACGTAGTCACATAGATGTACCTACACCGATGTATAAATGAAATGCACCGGTAATACTAATATTTTATTCTCTAGTTTTTATGACACACATATATCTTATCTACCTATCAATTTAGCAAATAGGTACCCACCTGTCTAGGTACTACGTAAACATATACCGTAGGTATACGTTTTTTTTGTGCTTGATGTATCAACTATACATTTTCATTGACAAGCTGTTTTATAGTGGATTTATATCGTTCAAGTACACAATATAACATTTGTTTCATCGCATATAATGATAATTATATTGTAGTATAACTTTTAATTTATGTTGAGGCACCTATCTATTCGATTAACCTTAGCATAAAATATTTTCCATGGATATTTTTTTTAATGCGATACAATCACTGTTTAATTTAAAAAATATATGTAATTGTAAAATGTTATTTTATCCTATATTGTTTCACACAATATTAAGCATATCCATTTAGCATTACAATGTTATAAACATTAATACATTTTTTATTATTATACTTTATTGTGTTAAATAATATTATTTTATATAATATACAATGGCGTATTTACATACAATGGCGGTTTTGGGTTTTAAAAAAACGTTGGGTACCTACCTATAAGTTATTTAATTTCAACATTTTATAAAACTCAGTTGTAGATTTCTTTATGTTTTCGGGGCTAACAAATCGACGATATGGAAAAAAAATGTTTGATGTAACTATAATGATATGAGTAAACATCTTTTTTACGACTGAAATAAGTATCTGTACATTTTAAAACCATAGGTACCAAAAAATATTTGTTAAATATGTCATTGTATATAGTGTATAGGTACAAATATATTAAGTACCTACCTCATTATCGTGTAACAACCATACATGTTATGAAGTACTTATATGTAATATTTTATGTTCTCACATGTTTTATAGGAAAAAACATTTTATAATAAGCGCTTTATAACATATTAATTTTAAACATTCATTGAATATTTGACCTACAGAAAAATGTTCAATTAAGTGTGTGACTTACAATTTTTCATCTTATAAAAGTATTTTCTTAGATAGAGAAGGTACCTACGTAATGTACCTTATTTGCTGGATATTTGATAATACATATTACATTTTATTGTATAAACAAGTTAGACTTGACTAATGATTAACGATATACTATACAAATAGTTCAACTTCAACAGTGTTGTTGTAGTTTTTGCATGTTTTCATATGTTGTTTTATTAAAAAAAATAAAATAAAATATCGGTGGCCGAATTGTACATGATATTCTATTGTTTATAACGAATAGTCATTGCATTATTACAAAAACATGGTCTTACACCATCTCCGATATATTGTTTTATAATGGTTTAATCTATGTAGATGTATGTTCGCATGTTGCACTTGTTACAATACTCAGATACTCATGGGTGAATATATTCAAATAGACGACACGTAACTAAGAGTAATACGTAGATACAACTGAGGATGTATTTTACCAGGGGAACTACCAACTGAATCAGATTTAGATAAGAAAATACACATAAGACTACCAGAAATAATGATAGACGTATTGAAGGACCGTTTTTGGTTTGAGTTTAGAAAAGACAATAAAAAAAAAAAAGATATTTTTTCTTATTGAACCCGGCCTATCGGTCTTTTTACACTTTAATGCATAGTGTCTATAATTCAAAATGAACTGTTAAAAACTATTGTTTAAACTGTTAAATTGGGTGAGTGGGAATTGCGCATGAAAATCTTCAATCTTTGGGATAGGTATAATAATAATCAAACCGTAAATCATTCAAATCATTTTGTTAGTGCAAATACACCAACAATAAATTATATCTTGTTTTTAAAAACTAATGTTATACAAATGCATGGTACCGCCCCAGATGTATTGATCGAAGTATGGTATAGATCAACAGTAAAAAACCGTAATTAATTTCTATCTTTCTTACGTTATTTTCGATTAAATATAGTTTAGTAATTTTTTTTTTTTATGTTTATGTACAATTGTAAATGTTATGAATAAAATATATATTTAGGCAATATTTTTATTATCCTTAAATTATAATAAATAAAAAAAATAAGTTAAAACTGTATAGGTAATACACCTTTATTTTCAGTGCCTATCAGTATTGTATTACTTAGATACTTATTTTATACTCATGAAACAGGTAGTCTATTAAAAACTACATGGTAGGTCACAGTAGATATTATGTAGGTCACTTATTCAATGAATTTCTTCATTTTCATAAATTGTCTACTCCATATATTATTTTAAATGTTGATACACGATTGTGAATAGACAAATGGCACGTTTTCAATCGTTTGTACCTACCTGTATTTTTTTATGTGCCGTTGCCGGATGGTAATACATAGGTTCGTCGTAATGATAAACATAATTGTAATACATGGATTGGAAATATGAAAACCATATATTCTGTTGAATATTTTTAAGTTTATTTTTCTAATAATTATTATGAATTACTATGAATAACAAATGTACCTTATTTCTAAAAATTATTAACTAAATAAGTTATTTATTAACAAGTCTCTGAGTGGGGGAAATATTTTTTAAATCAAACCTTGGCTTTACTGGTGGATTTTGTGTCCAAAGATATGGTATTAATACGATCTATGTGATCTATCACGCAACGCCACATGAAAAAAGAAAAAATCATATAAATGACCACCAATGTGCAATGGGAAAAAGTATAGACACTTTCGAAAACGTGTTCACCTGTTCGTTTTCTTCCTCTAAAAAATTGTCATTAATTAGCTTAAAATCATGCACGTTTGCATTACAAAAAAAGGTAACACATTCACAATCGTGTTTCACAAATAAAATATATACCTAATTGTTTTGATTAATGTATACATTCGATAAACATTAGTTAAACAACAAATGCTTTTCTTAACAACTAAATTATATTATGTGTCATACGTTGTGTGAAATCGTCATCTATTTTCGGATTCAAACACCTTTGAAAAAATGTAATAAATGTGCTCAATAATATTAGTTATCATACTATTTAGTGAAACGTTTTGTTTAAATAATTTGCACGCATCATGTCTAGTCTAATAACAATGATATGATATATCGTTAAAATTTTGCACTCCTTTTCGTTTATATTGTATTGTACGTTTAAGAACATTATTATTTATTATATAAAATAAACTAGGTAATACTATATTGTATTGACGTCCAGATCCGCCAGCGTTGTTGGTTGTTATTTTGATAATTGATAAATAATTATTAGAAATAATAGTATAATTAAATGATAATAAATCAATGTTTTATAATGTATTTTTTTTACTAGACATTTTAAATTCATGAAATTTAAATTTAATCCTATTACCTACTTGTAATTGGTGTACCTCAACTGATAATTGTCATTAATTTGGTTATGGACGTATTTAGGTACCAATTAAAGGTACCTTTGGACAGGGGTACGAAACTCAGTAAATTAGTTGGATCGAGTGATTATGGCCTTGAACTCAGTCTCCAGGGGGAGGTGGTATACGTGAAATAGGGAATGGTAAACAAGCCAATCCCGCTGGTATACTCCTCCAACGTGGCGGTAATCGTTTTCATAATACGGGTAACCTCGGGTCTAACATCATATTGTTTATGCGTGGAAACATTTTCATGTTTTTCGGAGGTTCAGACTTCAGATCATACGTAAACAAGACCCCAATCAGCTGATTGAGTTTCGCTTTTTTATTGTTCTGTGTT